TACTTAACCTCACTGTTCCTCATTCATCTCACCTGTAAAGTGGGGATAATAATAACTTACCTCAGTTATTATTAGGTGGAAATAAATTATAAGTGTATAGGAATGATGTCTGCTGTATAGATCCGAGTTAGCTATTGAAATTATGATTAATGCCTACCCTCACCAAACTAGAGAAAGAGATTTATTGATCAGAGCTGACCATTTGAGGGATTCTTTCCACTCTCTTGACTACCAGTGGGTGCAAGTTCTTTCTGTTTCATCCCTTGCTGTCTTAGCAGCTGCACAAAGATATTATTTAATCTTCTGAAGTTATTGCTTTGACTATCCTTCCTCCTCCCATTTCTCTTCAAACCTCTTGATAATTCACCAATGGAGCCCTTCTCAGAATGTTTTCAAGTGCCTAAGATAAATTACAAAATAAACCAATTTTATTGAAATACAGTTATCAGGATATTAAAAATAATTATGTAAAATTTTACCTATTATCACATTAAATAAGATCTAATGGCAGATCTAATAACACAGTTGTTGAGCATAAACAATATTTTGAGATCTCAAACATCTTCACGTGATGAAAATATCTGCTCTCCACTGGCAACATCACTGGGATTTGTTGCCTACATTCACAGTTGAAGAAAATTCTAACTTTCAGTTATAGGTTCATGGTAATAAAAATGCAATTTTTTTCTCACCTGCTTATGGACTCTTTTTATTATAACATCCCTACATTCAAGAGTTCATATTCTAGCTCCAGCTTGTGTGTCCAGATTTGTCCTACTTCTCTGCTCAACATAACCTGAGTTTACAAAAAGTAGGAAATAATCTCTATCTTGGTTTAACAGATATTTATTGTGTACCACACTGGCTGTGTGTCAGGTACTGTATAAGGCAATGTAAATTCAGGGCTAGGTCTCTTCCTGTATGAAGCCTGTCTAATGAGGGAGAACAGTTATAAATAGCAAACGAATATATAAATACAACATTGTAAGTGCTCTGAAGAAGTCAAACAGTAGTAAACTCTAAAAAAGTAATTATTTTCAGGATTAGGGGTAGGGATGTGGTTACCTAGTTAGCTGGTAAAGGAAAAACTTTCTGGGTAGCTGCTCTTTGAAGCTGAGACTTGAACGATGAGATGGAGTCCACCAGGCAGGGGGCTGTGGCAGGAATGTGAGGTGAAGGGTGGGAATTGGGAACAGTGTATATGAAGTACCTGAAGTGAAAAGGATGCTATACCTAGTCCATCCTGAATCCATCTGCTTTCTCCCACCTCTACCTGTACTGTTTCTAATGAATCCTTCTAGCATTTCTTCCAGGCAAATAGAAATATTTAGGTTTTTTTTTCCCTTCCTTTATTACACAATGGTAGTATACTATACATCCTGTTTTACAGTTTTATATTTTGGTATAATAATTGTATTGGAGGTCTTTCCATATCACTACATAAAATGTTTATTCTTTTTTGTCTATAACAACAAGATATTCCATTATATGGTTATACCATAGTTTATGTAAATATACTTTAACAATGGACTATTGAATTGGTTCCAATATTTTGCTGTTAAAAACAGTGCTTTAGTTAGTAACCTTAATTATGTTAGCTCAACATGTGTGGAAATGTACAGTATCTGTTGGATAAATTTTCAAAAGGGGAATTGCTGTGTTAAAGAACAAACACATTTGTAGTTGCCATAGATATTGCTAAATGCTTTGCACTGTGATTGCACTAATTTACATTTTCAACGGCTGTGTATCAGAGTGCCCATTTTTCCACAGACACATTTGAAGTATGTTATAAAACATTTAGAATTTTGCCAGTCTCATAGGTGAAAATGGTTTCTCAGTTTAGTATTAATTTCTGTTCTTCCTGAGTGAAGTTTAACATTTTTTTAATGGGTTTTGAGTCATGGTTAGAATGACCTTCCCTATTCCAAAGTGAAAGGGGCATTCTCTCATGTTACCTTCTAGTGCTGTTACAGTTTTATTTCAAAAGTTTACATCACTGACCCTTTGGAATTTAGTCTGTGTGGGATGTATCCAAATTATTTTGTCCAGATGTCCACATGTCACAATCTATTTATTAAATATACTCTTTCCTCATTGATTTGAGATGCAGTCTATATACTAATAATACTAAGTCCTGTGGTTTAGGATTTATTGCTTGCCTTTCTTTTCAGTTCATTGGTCCGTTGGTCTCCTCACATGCCAGCATTGGAGTATTTAACTAATGTGGCTTTGTAATATTTTAACATCTTATAGTGCTAGTCCCACCTCACTGTTTTCTTATAATTATCTTGGTGATTTCTTTTTTCTGTATGTACTTTGGAAGCAGTTTACATGTTAAAAAATCTGTTGGTATTTTTTTTTGATCTTGTTATATTGAGGAACATGGCAAGTGGTTTCTAAGTTCTCTTCCTTTGTTCTCCAGTAGACCTGACAAATTTGTTTTATTCCTGGGCATTTAACCTTTTTTTTGTAAATTGGATTGCTTCTTCCATAGTGTCTTCTCACTGTTTTTTATACACATGAATATTATTGAAGCCTGTGTATTTTCTCACTGAATTCACTTAGTTCTTATAGTAGTTTTTCAGTTAGTTCTTATTTGTTAAGGTATACACGGATGTTACCTATGAAGATGAAAGTTTTAACTCTTCCTTTCCAATTTTATGTTTCTAATCTTTTACCTAATTCTGTTGTCTAGGACAGGTGATACCGGGCATCCTTATATTCCTGATCTAAGTGGGAATGCCTTGCATGTATCTTTGTTATGCATGATACTGTCTTTGGGCTGTGATAGAGTTTATCTTGTTAAGGGAGCATCTACCTATTTATATTTTATTGATATTTTTAAGATCAAGAATGCTTGGTGATTTTTTTCAAAGGACGTGATTTTTTTTCCATTTGCGTAAGTGGTGATGATGAATTAAGATTTCCAATATTGAGCCATAGTTACATTCTTATGATAAACTTCACCTCGTCGTATATTTTTCACACATTACTGACTTTTGTTTGTTAATACAGTTTCAGACTTTTAGCTTGATATTCATATGTGAGCTTGTCCTGTATTTGTTTTGTTTTTCTGGGTGGTTGTTTTGTTTTGTGCTGTCTTTACCAGGCTTTGCTATATGTTTGCACTAGCTTCATAAAAATAACTTGGATTTTTTTTCATTTTTGGGAACAGTTCAAATAACAATGGAATTATCTGCTCTTTCAAGGTTTGGTGGAATTCCTCTATGAAATCATCAAGGCCAGTAGTTTTTGTGATGTAACTCTGACATCTTTTTCTGTTGTTTGGTAGAAAAGGGGTCTGTTTGGATTTTTAACATTTCTGGAGTCATTTTGGTAAATATTATTTTCCCAGAAAATTATCTCTATCATAAGTTCTCCCTCTCACTGTCTGTTTTTCTGCTTTCCTTAGGCATTCGCATCTGGTAATCTTTCTCTTCCAACTGCTATACCATCACTGTCACCATAATTCAGGTTTTGTTACCTCTCTTCTGGGCTATAGCCTCTATCTTATAACTGCTAGTATTCTACCATACAGTGTCACTAGATTAAATTCCATGTCTTACAGTCTTATTCATTCCTTTAATATATGTTATCCAATATCCGCTATGTGGTAGGCATGACAGACATGCAGAGAAGAGTACAGTCAAAGCTCTACTCTCATGGACTTATATGTTGGTGGATGGTATCAGACAAGAAACAAATATAAATGATAATCTCTCAGGTAGTGATAAGCATTATGGAGAAAAATGAAACTGGATAGTGGGGATAGACGTAGGAGGCTGGGTAACATTTTTAAATAGGGTCATGAATGTTGAGTAGGGACCTGAAACAAGTGATAGTGGGAGTGATCAGGGAAAAAAGTGCTTGAGGCAGGTTTAGAAAGTGCAAAGGTCCTGAGGTGAGAGAATATTTGTCATGTTTGAGGAATAGCCAAGACATCAGGAATGGAGCTGTAGAATGAGCCAAGGTAGAATGGGAGAAGGTGAAGTCAGAACTGTTGGTCATCTGTGTGCTTGGAGGGGCCGGGTGGTGCAAAGGGGTGGGCAGATCACGCAGGACATTGTGGACCATGGTAAGGAATTTGAATCTTACTGAATGACGTGAAAAGTCATGTTACTTTTTTGTATTTGTTTTTTTGATTTGAGAGCAACGTGATCTAGACTTAAAAATTACTGTGACTCCTCCGTAGAGACAATAGAGGGCTATTGATTTAGTTCAGAAAGGAGAGAAAGTTAGGTTAGATCATGGGTGTAGTGATAAAATTTGGGAGAAGTGGTTGGATTTCAGTTATACCTTGAAGGTTGAGCCATTTACATTTGCAGATGAATTGAATGTGGGATTTGAGAGAGACCCATCCTTGGTTTCTAAGGATTTTTGTCCTAAGCTATCTGAATAATACTGTTGCCATTTACTGAGGAGGGAGCATTGAAGAAATAGCAGGTTTGGACTGAAAAGAAAGAGTTTGTCTTTGGACATGTTGAGGTTGAGAATGCTACTAGGAAGTGTCAAAAAAGCAAGTTGGATGTTGGATTCTGGAATTCAGGAGACAGGTCTTTGACAAAACTCCTCAATGGCTCCCCATTGCTTACAAATTCTAAATTGCTAGCGTCACATTCAAGATCTTTTATCTGACCCCAGCCTTCCTTTTAAGTCTTGTCTCACTCTATTACCTTACATAGACCAAGCCAAAGAGGCTTTCTTACTTCTAGAATGTGCTAAGCCTTTGGCCATTTTAATGCCTTTGCCTATGCTATTCTTTATACCTGGAATACCTGTCATTTCACCTTGGTTTACTGGAATATTATCCAGTCTCCGTGACTTTATACATAAGAAGGAGAAGTGAGCCAGGAAAGAAACATCATGTTTAGTTGATGCCATTTAGTGAATGAACTCCTGGCTGTCTTGTTTCTGTGCTCTCACGTTAACCTGTGGCACAGCGTGCTTTCTCTGCTTAGTGACAGAAGAAAATTAATTTTTATTTTCTTTATTTCCAGATGGGAACATTTAAAGCACATGATGGTGAATATTTCTTAGAACCTATAATGAAGGCAGATGGGAGTGAACATGAAGATGATCATAACAAGCTACATCTTATATACAGACAGGAATTAAAGAGGAACTATTTCCTGCAGTCTCACAAGCCTTGTGAAGTTTCAGGTAAACTATGAAGTAAAACTCTTTACAGTAAAAATATGATACTATTTAAATCTTTTTCAGGTTAGAATTTACATATTTTCCTTAAATATTGATATATATGATATTTTAAATAAATTTTCTTGACCTGTAAGGATCCATTAGAAATTATCTGTAGAGAATTTTGTTGTAGACTAAATTTGAATCCAAAAATGTGTTCAGTAGAGTTGACCCTTGAACAGCATGTTGGATAGGGGCACTGACGCCCTCACAGTTGGAAATACATGTATAACTTTATAGTCAGCCCTCCTTATATTCAGTTCTCCATCCATGGATTCAAACAGCCATGGTCATGTAGTACTGTAGTACAAATTTAGTGAAAAAAACTCACATAAGTGGACCCGTGCAATTCTAACCCGTGTTGTTCAAGGGTCCACTGTATCCGAGATTTGTAGCAAAAAATCAGAAAACTTTTATTTCAGTCTGTTAGTCACAGTAGTATGATTTTTCTCAGCAGAATTTTACATGATTAAAAAAACTGAACCTAAGTAACAATAACATGTTGCTCGATTTTGCATGCTTTTAAATTTGCATGAAGGAAGCATTGCAGATCGTTTTCTGGGACTTCTTTGCTTAGCATTGTTTCTGAGGTTCATCTACATGGGTACATGTAGCAGCTGTTCATTTTCATTGCTGAGTATATCACGGTTCACATATCCATTTTCCTGTTGATGAGCTTTTGGGTTATTTGCAGTTTTTTGCTATTATAAACAATGCTGCTGTGAAATTTTTTGTCCTCATCTCCTGTGTTTGAGTTTTTCCAAAGTATACACACATAGATACTAGAGAATTCCACATTGTTTTGCAAAGTGGTTTTTATCAGTTTATATTTTCAGCAATATATGAGAGAGATGTGTTTTTTTTCATTATTTCCTATAAAATTCAGACTAATGATTTATCATAGATCGGAATCTAGGAATTGCCAGTTTCTATAAAGTGTAAGTCTCTTGCTAGTAGAATACTTGTACATTGCATAGAAGTTGTATTAAGAGTTGTGTCCATATATGTACATGAATCTTCACTGTATCATTTTGTCACTCTGTCACCCTATGAAGAATGGAGAAAAGCACCTGCAGTTATCATCAAAGTACAAAATCTAGACAAAAGAGTGGGATTATAAAGGATTTATTTGAGATTGTAGGTGTCCATAAACTATAGTTCCAAACACTGCGATGCCATCTGTTTTGGGATATAATGATATGTAGGCCTTTGAAGGTTTTCCCTGGGAATGCACTTCTTAACCTTTGCTATTATAGGAGTGCCATTTTGGAGTGGTTCTCACTGTGTCTAAGGCCGTGTTTTAAATCTATTGACACAATAGATGCCTTTCTTATGCTTTTAATATGAGCATAAGGGTTTCATTTTTGTGGCTTCAAAGAAAACACAAATGGGTACAGCTCCACAATAGAATTCTACAGAAGGCAGCTTATGCTTGTTCTGATCTACCATTCAGGAGCAGCTTGTTTAATGAATTGTTTAGCTTCTTAAGAAGAAAGCCACCAAGTAGACACTCTGAATGCATAAATGTTTCACATAATGATATGCAAGATTTTGCATTCACAATCAGTGTTCATTATCAGAAAGAGAATGGTTCAAGAAAAGCCAGGCCCTTTTGTTTAAAAAACCAAAAAACTTATACTAAGTTAGATTTATTATTTATTTAAAGCTACAAATAACAAGCAAGTAGAAAGCTATGGGATTTACTTTTAATCATGATATTATTTCCCACATTTATCTACTAAAATGTTAAAAGTAGTATCATTCTTTTCAGTTCTTAAATTACCTACATTTTTAGGTATAATTGACATGCATATTTTTAATCGCTAAAAAAGGCAATCAATTAGTGGCCTAAATACTTACCTGTTAATCATCATCTTGTTAGTAAAAATGGAGAGTTATAAATGTAATTAGTAAAATGTTATCAAAGGCTTTTTTCTTCTTCCCCAGTTCACACATTGTTGTTCAGAAATACTTGCAGAATCTTACTTACGTATTCTAAAGGTAAACCTTCATTCAGGAGAATTCTTCAAATAGGTAGGCCTAAAGATTTAGCGCTTGAACCAAAAGGATTAATTGGAAAAGGAAAGGTCATTTTCCCCCCATATTTCTATTGATTTTAATTCATTACAACCCTAAAATGTTGTAATTCATAGTGACTTCTGCCTTGATGAATTAGATTAAGTTGTTTTTAACATCAGATTTCACCGTGTGCCTTGAGGCCATACGAATTATATTTGGTAGCCAAACCTAAGCCTTTGTGGATGCCAGGTTCCCAGGTAGACATCAGACTTAGTCTAAGTAAAATCCAGTGGAAATAGCAAAACAAGCCCATAAAACCCATGAAATGAACAAACAACCACATAGTAACAAAATTAAAACCCAAGGGAGAGGGAAGCCCTGAAAAGCCTGACAGGAATGAAAATAAACCTCTGGATTCTGTTAAGTGTGGTTCTGCTGTTGTTTATCCTCCAAGGCGGATCAGAGCTGGTCTGTGTTCTTCAAGGGACCCGGTGAGCCTGGCTCCCTTTCTCCCATTGCAAATTTATTCATTGAGTCCTTAATATATATAAAGGGGGGAACTGGGTAAGACTTGAGTGTTTCTCTTCATTTAGGTTCTCCAAGCCCAATGGGTACAAAAGAACACAAAAACAGAAAAATTGCAAAACTGAGCGGAGGCTGCCCTACCTGTGTTAGGAGCAGATCAAGCGGCTGAGCAACAAAAATTGCCCTGGGTTTCACCAAGGAGGTGACATTTAAACCATTTAATTTTCACTGTGAAGGATTTATCGGTATTTTCTAAGAAAAAAAAAAAAAAGGAGGATGGGCTTATATTAAAACGTCTGCGGGATTTGTTTTAGTTAAGTATGCTAAGAAGATAGACATAGAGATAACTGCCTTTGAAAGAAGAGTTTATTACTTACGGTCCCCAAGAGATGGGGACATGCCCCCCTGGGTCTCATGGAGAAGCACCCAGCTTGGTCAGGAGGTGAAGGAGGGAGGGAAAAGCATGGGCAAAGGCTTTGTTTCTGCAGTGATGGGAAGTTGTTACACAGGGTGTCTCCTGTTGGGCAGGAAGTGAACCACTGATCACAATTTGTGGTTTGTGGTCGGAAGGTTCGTAATACGGTTTCAGTGTGCTTGTTGAAAGCTGGACTGCGGCGGACATATAAACATCTTTGGCTGTTAGTTTGGTCCTGTGATTAATGCCAACTCATCAGTTACAAAAACTACAGCAGTTGGTTAGGACAGACCTCTAGATAAGGGGGAATAATATTTGTGTCCTCAGCGTCCTGATGCGTGTGAAGGAGAGTGTAGGTGGTAAGGGAAGATGAGGCCGTGAAGGCACACAGGCCGACCGAAAGGGCTCCAGGGTCTTGTAGGCTATTCCATAAGCCCTGGGGAAATGAAGAACTTCCAAAACAGAGACATCCTCTCTTATAACGTATTACTCAGCTGGCAGATTATTGTTAAAGATAACTTTGGATTTGAATAAGAAAAGACTGAAGGCAGAAAGACGGAATCCAAGAAAGCAGCTCTCTTGTCAACAAAGGACATGTCAAACAAGTAAAGTGCACATAAAGAATAAATTAAAGATGATTTCCTTAACGCATTTCCTTCAATTTTGATGGTATGGTAAAGATTTTCTTTTGTGAGTGATCAATTTGGATATTTCTGTGAATGTCTGAGAATTGTCTTCTTAATAAAATTATATTTAGATATAGATGATTTCCCTTTCCTTTAAAGATAATTAATCGGCATGTGTTTGGGGAAACCCAGAGGTATCTTTAGTGTCAGCAGAAGCCACGGTTCACTTAGTAAGCTGGGAGTCAGGGAACAGAGTTCTACTTCTGGCTCTCTAACTGACTTTGAGACCTTAACCTCTCTGGGTCTTAACCTAGAGTAGGTAGTGAATGGCTGATGAATTTAATGGTTCCTATTTAAGTCAAGTTTAGGAGTTTCTATCTTAGACACCTCACAGATACAGGAACGCAGTTACCAGAAATGAGTGAAGTGAGGTGTCATTAGGACGTTGAGGTGTCCTTAGGGCAGTGGAATAGACATGCTTCTTGCAAAAGGTGCATTGGAAGTGTGGGACCATTATTACCAGATCCTTTGTATCTTACAAAGAAGCTGAAAATCTAAGATTTTTTTTAAGTGGGGGAAAAAGTTAGAAACATGAGAGCTGAATTTGGCCTGTTGGCTGCCAGTTTGCAATCGTTTAATGATTTCTAAGGTTCCTGACATTTATAACATTTTATAAATTTGTGGGTAGAGAAGGAGGTGCCATTAATCTAGGAAGAGAGGATTGTAAATACGGCCGTGACAGTGGCCAATATTTTGAACTAATAACTTGTTAATGGTATTTTTAAGAGTCAGCTCAAGCTTCTAAATATTTATAGAACTGACTATAGAGATGTTACTCATTTGCCCACCCTTTATTAAAACTACTCTCTCAAAGATCTCTTATGAGCTTCTACTTGCCAAAAGCAATCATCTCTCTCAGGCTTACTGTTACGTCATTTGGGGGGATTATTTCTCACTCTTGATCAACTTTGGCTTCTCTGACACACTTTGCGTCCATCTTTGCTGCTTTTCTTTCTTACCTTTCTTCCCATTTCAGTTCCTGGTCGTTGTTACTTTACCATCTTCTAAGGTAAACATTTTTTAAAAGTGCTCTTCTTGGCTACCAGTTTACACCATTTCTTATATAGTCTGTGATTTTTTGTACTTCTCTAATTTTAACTACTAACTTAAACGTTAGAGAACTTAAAAATGTTTATATTCAGCTCGTCTTGAGATGAAATCTCAGGTTTACAACTGCGTGATGCTGATGTTTTCTTGGATGTCCCAGCGGCATCTTAGACTCAATACATCTAAATCCGAAGCCATTCTCTCTTCTATCTTGCTCTTCACCTGCACCCCCAAAAGAAGCCTTTATTCTTTTGGTGTCCAAATTTATGTTT